TGTGTGTATGTGTGCGCGTGTGTGTGTGTGTGTATGTGTGTCTGTGTCTGTGTGTGTGAGTGTGTATGTGTGTGTGTGTCTGTGTGTGTAGGGGTGTGTGTGTGTGTATATGTGTGAGTGTGTGTGTGAGTGAGTGAGTGTGTATGTGTATGTGTGTCTGTGTGTGTCTATGTGTCTGTGTATGTAGGCGTGTGTGTGTGTGTGTGCATGTGTGTATGGTTTAAACATGCAGATATGTATTTTACTTTGGAGGTGCTGGTTTATGACACCAACAGCGTAGATTTAATTCCTCTCTCAGCTGAGGTCACTGTGATGAACCCAATGTCTCCACCTTGCCTGAGGCATAATGACCCCCATGTTAAACTCATCAGCTCTTTCTCTCTCTCTCTAATAAGATACTTTTCTGGACAACCTTACATCCATTATACCTTGCAAACCTGAGCTCATCCGAAACTCTGCTGCCTAGGTCCTAAGTTGCACCATATCCTATACACCCAGCTTGCACAGACTGTGATGAAGAATCATCTAGACTTGAAACGTTAGCTTGCTCTGTCTCCATGGATGCTGCCTGATGCACTGTGATTTCCAACATTTTCTGTTTTCAGTACAGATTCCATCATCTGCAGAAATTTGCTCCTACACACCTATCACTTCTTAACTCACTGAACTGGCTCCAATTGTATCAGTACCTCCACAGTAAAATACACATCTGCATGTTAAACCACACACACACACACACACACACACACACACACACCATTCTTCAGAATTGAGAACAGGGCTAAACATAATTTTTTTTAGGTGCTGTTTTTCAGATTTTCACAAGGTTCTGATTTTTGGTAGCTACTTTCTGGATTTTGGAGGCTCCTTTTGGGTTCTCACTAACTTGTTGATCAGGTGATGCAGTCATGTGGTGACACTATTTCCTGTATTTGAGTTGACATTTGGGACATTTCACAGAGACAGAATTGAAGAATTCATCAATATCCACAACTTTTAGCAGAAGTCAATAAACTTAAAGCCGCAAAGAAAGCATTAATTCGTTGGATGCCACAACATTTAGATTGACACAAAAGATTAACACACAGGCATAAATTTATAAGGAAACTTTTTTTTAAAATACAACTGATACATTTCTGCACACAAAAAGCCATCACCCAAAATCTATCTTCCACAGGCTGGTGAGGTCGCAACTGATATGGTACCAGAAGATTTTAACTGGGTAGTTACTACCATTGTTACTGCATCTCAAGAATCTCAGTTTTAAATTTAACAATTAACAGCGTTCATTACAATAACATCCACTATGTTTCCTGCCAGCACCTGAATATATGCAGCTTTGAGCTAGAGGTCCACATGCATTTCAAGGATTTAATTATCTCCATGATTTCAGGTTTTCCTGGTTGAGCATTTCTTTGTTGTCACACTGAAAACTGTTCTCTCTATTTGATATCCTCATTGTCCAATCCCTTGCAGCTTCTCTCACATTCTGATTCTCTCTTGCAGCCTCCACTCCCTCTCCTTGAGCTTCCTCCCCTATATACCTGGTTGTCGGCCAATAGAGCTGGCATCTGAAAATATGATGTGGAGATGTCAGTGTTGGATAAAGGTGGACAAAGTCAGAAGTCTCAAAATGCTAAGTTATAGTCTAACAGATTTATTTGAAATCATAAGCTTTTGGAGCGCTGCTTCTTTGTCAAGTGAAGTAGAGGGAAGCACACAGGCAACAAAGGAGCAGTTCTCTGAAAACTTGTCATTTCAGATAAATCTGTTGGACTGTCTGAATCTGAAAATATACCTTGACTTACTGAGTGGTAGCAAGTGAAGTCAAAGGGAATGCTTCCACCTAAATCCAACTTGGGAATGACTTTCTGGGGCAAGAACATTGTAGCACAATTTCTAACAGGATCTGAGCATGAACTGAGTGTGTGGAGAAACTAGGCAGATGGAGCATTACAGCTGAGAGGGTCAGGGTTGTTGAATGTTCTCATCTCTACCTGATGCTGAACATTTTTCAGTTCAATAGGAAAACCCTTCCACAAGCACTCTCCCTACACAGTCAGTAAAAGTAGTCACTTCACCAGTCACTCACAGAGGCTAGAGTTGTTCCCTTCTAGACCAATCCTGATGGAGCTCCCGAGAATGAGAGGTAGATAGAAAAGATTAACTGTAAAACAAAAACAAGAAAATCACAGCTTAGTTGAGTAACATGAGTATAGCACAGTATTGAAAATGGCAACCACAGAAGGAGGCCACTTAGCCTACTCCAATTCATGGTGGCTCAGTGGTTAGCACTGCTGCCTTACAGCATCAAGGACCTGGGTTCGATTCTAGCCTCAGCTGACTGTGTGGAGTTTGGGCATTCTCCCTGTGTCTGCGTGGGTTTCCTCCCACACTCCAAAGATGTGCAAGTTAGGTGGATTGGCCATGCTAAATTGCCTGCAGTGTTCAGGGATAGGTGGGTTAGCCATGGGAAATGCAGGGTTACAGGTAAAGGATAGGGGGAATGGGTCTGGGTGGACACTATTTGGAGGAGCAGTGTGGACTTGTTGGGTCGAATGGCCTGTTTCCACACTGTGATGATTCTATTACCTGGTGCTGATCTTATAGAATCCCTACAGTGTGGGGACAGGCCTTTTGGCCAAACAAGTCCGCACTGACTCTTGGAAGAATATCCCACCCAGGCTCACACCTCTGCTCTGTCCCTGTAACCCTGCATTTCTCATGGCTAATCTACCTAACCTGCACATCTTTAGACTGTGGGAGGAAACTGGAGTACCTGGAAGAAACCCACGCAGACACGGGAGAATGTGCAAACTCCACATAGACAAGGCTGGAATTGAACCTATGTCCCTAGCACTGTGAAGCAACAGTGCTAACCACTGAGCCACCATGTTGCCCTTTCCTTTCCCTGATGTCCTGCACACCATTTCTATTCAAGTCCTCGCATTCCCATAAGCACCTTTCACAAGTCCAGAACATTTTAAAACACTATACAGTCAAGGAAGCACTGTTTTGAAATGCAATCATTGTTGTAACGTAGAAACGTGACAGTGAATTTTTTCACAGCAAGCTCCTACAAATGGGCAATGTGATGATGACAAGATAAATTGTGCCTTTTTCGGTAATGTGACTGGAGTGCCGTTGTTGGAGAGAACTCCTGTGCTCAAATAATACAACGGGTTTTTTGTACATGGAGCTGAGAGGCTAGGTTGCACCTCGACTCATGAAACAAAAAGTAGTGTGAAGGAAGGAAAGCGAAAGCCAGCCTGGCCCATCACTGACGTCAGGGTAAGCCATTAAGCAATTAGCCTCAAACAGACCTTTGAAAGCAAAAGCAATTACACACTAAGCCACGCATGGCTACATTATAGCAACACAAATTGCATTGGGCACTGATAGCTGAATGTCTCCTGCTCTTAAAACAATAAACACCAGCACCATCACAATGGCTTGCATGTTACATCATTGATCATTTGTTAAAACTCTGGTGCAAAAAATATTGCAATCTTGCATTGAAAACTGAGGCAATGTGTTCATTCTCAAAAAGAATCACTGGGAGGAATAGATTGGAGTGCACAGTAATTGGTCACTTTGGAGCATTTCTGCCAAGTCCATAGCTCCACCACCTTCTCCAGGGCAACTAGAGACAGGCAATAAATGCTGGGCCAGCCAGCGATGCCCATGTCCAACAAGTGGATAAAAAAAACTCACGACACAGGGACGGAAAATGCACAAGTTATAAGGCTAATGAGTGACATACCATTGCCAAAAGACGATTGAAAGGCTTCCATTTGTATAGTGCTTTTCACAATTGAAGGATGTTCACACACAGCACAGTGAACAAAGTGCTCTGTTAATGCAATGTTCTTTATAATGCTGGCAATCTGTCTGTCAGTCAGTGCCTGGAAAGCTTGGACAAAAATCAGTCTGTGAACTACTGAGTAGTCTCATTTCAGTGATACTGGGTGAGGGACTAATCTCCTGTGCTTCATTGGAATAATGCCATTGGCTCTGATACACTATGTTGAATGAGCACTGGTTCAAATTTCTTCTGGAGCACATAACCACCAACAAGGCAAATCGCCCTCTGTGTTGACCCTCTGACAATGCAATGCCATCTCAGTATGGACCATTTGGCAGTAAAAAGGCTCAGAACTGTTGGAGAGTCATTACTGAGAGAGTGTCACTACGTTGATGGTTCAGTACTAATGGAGGGCTGACCTGTTCATCAGTTAGAGGCCAATTGTTTAATGGCTTACGCTGACATTGGTTCTGAGGAACAGCTGAAATGTCAGCGGATAAGTACAAAGGCATGTTCACAATGCTGGAAGGAACAGAGCACTGTCAGACGGTCAGCAATGACAGTGCGGCACTCCCTCAGCACTCACCCTCCGACAGTGCGGCACTCTCTCAGCACTGACCCTCCGACAGTGCGGCACTGCCTCAGCACTGACCCTCCGACAGTGCGGCGCTCCCTCAGCACTGACCCTCCGACAGTGCGGCATTCCCTCAGCACTGACCTTCCGACAGTGCGGCTCTCTCTCAGTACTGACCCTCCGACAGTGGGGCACTCCCTCAGTACTGACCCTCCGACAGTGCAGCACTCCCTCAGCACTGACCCTCCGACAGTGCGGCATTCCCTCAGCACTGAAAATCCGACAGTGCGGCACTCCCTCAGCACTGACCCTCCGACAGTGCGGCACTCCCTCAGCACTGACCCTCCGACAGTGCGGCACTGTCTCAGCACTGACCCTCCGACAGTGCGGCAGTGCCTGAATACTGACCCTCCATTCCCTCAGTAGTGGTGTGTGGAACTGCAGAATAAAATGTGAAATGCCAGTTGGAGTAGATGAGCCTATGTGTGTGTCTGCTCTTGGGACAGCTGTCTGGCTCTCGGTGCAGTAACAATGACCCCTTTTCAATGAAATATTTGGATTTTGACCTGTTTCACGTTAACTGTTTGCAGTTTGCTGTCTCTGTGTGGATTGTCTGACAGAGTCCCAGCAGCAAGGCTGGGAGGAGGACAGTGTGTGTGTCGTCGGGGCGGGGGGAGGCTCTGTGTGAGAACAGGACAAGGCTGAAAATCCAAGTCTCCCGACCATGGGGCAAATGTCCCTTTAAGTTCACATCAGCTCAGGAGCAAGCGAGAGAGAGAGAGAGAAAAAGACGGCCCCAAAACAGCAGTGACCCAAAAGAAATGAATGAGGGGAAAATTAAGAAGGTTAGACGCTGTGAAGAGTCTTTGAGAGTGACTGAATATTTCAGCATTTCCCTGGGCTCCACAAATATCAAATTCTCTGCTTCAGTTCGACATATAAATGTTTAGAAAGGATTACAATGTATCTTAGTGAATGCTGGTAAAAACCCTCCACAAGCTCCTCAGACGTAGTTTCTTTCTGTTTAAAATATATTGTAACACTCTGACTAATCATGGTCTTGATGTGAAACAAAAAATCCCTGTATTAGCCCACCCCGATCCCTACCCGGGGCGGGGGCTGTTCGTGGAAAACTGCAAATTCAAAATATTTTTGGATATTCATTTGTCATGTTCCTTCTTACCTGAACAGAAGTATATGATTATCTCCATGCGCCAGGTCTTAATCCATAAGACTGCATTTGCTGGAGAAACGTGTGTTTAAATATTATCAATATTTTTGCAAATGTAGGATTCAGCGGAGCCGGTGCAAATGATGATGGAGTTTCAGGAAACGGCGTTTAAACACTATCACTTCTGGGTCCCGGTCTGCCATCGGTCCTCATCCCCAGTTTCCGGATCTCATTCACTCTCCTCTCGCCTTCTCTCTCTCTCTCTCACAAATAGGAGATATCCCTCAGCTTCATAACCAGACCCAGCCAACGCTGCTAAAACGCGACAGCAAACAATGTTTGCCTTCTGCCGTCAGAGGTCCGCCCCAGCTCTCTCTCCCAACATCAGTCGCCCTGTGTTACAAACACAGGCAGTAATTTCCCGTGAAGGGAGACTCGAACCGCTTTCCTCAGCTAAAGACTGAACGTCTCCCCTGGGTGGGCCTTGTTGGGATAAAACGCACACCCACCCACCCAGGTATCCACGTTGAAAGTAACTCCGTGTGAGCAGTACTTTTGTTGGCTCAGGGACTGGAGGGATATGGAGTCAGGGTGGGTGGCTGGGACTAGCCATGATCTAGTTGAATAGTAGAACAGTCTCAAGGGGCCGAACGGCCTTCTGCTGTTCTTTCTGACAAAAAGCACTTGGATTGCATACAGATTTGTACCTGTCTTTAGTCAGAGAGTCATAGAGGTGTAACAGCACAGAACAACACGCTTTGGCTCATCGCATCTAAAATACCCATCTAACTATTTAAATCCCAATCCCTACACTTGGCCCCGCCTTTGTGTAAAGTCACATTTAAACTTCTTCACATTTTATAGATAAACTATCCTTTCAATAAATCGGCCCTTTCCAGGATTCTCAATTGCTAAATGAAACTGTATTTTCAAAATCTTTCATGACCACTGTACATTCCAAAACGCTTTGTTGTTAACGAAGAGCTTTTGAGACACAGTCACTGTCACTAGTGAAATTCGACAGCAAGATCTCACAAACAATGATGAGATCACGTCTAGACATTATGTTTTGATAATGTTGGTTGACAATAAATATCGTCCAGAACACTTCAAGTTATACAAATGGGAACTTTTGTCAGTTTGAAGTCTTATTGAAGAAAGTCCCACAGACAGTGCAGTACTCCCTTGGTTTTCTCCCTGTGGTGTATCAGCCTGGAAAATTGATTGGAGTGGGCCATCTCGCTGGGAGAGCTACCTCCTGAGGGAGGACAACCCTTTATCATAAAGAGAAAGAAAGAACTGAAATGTCTGAAGTGTCTTTCATGACTTTAGGACTTCCCAAGCAAACAGCCAATGAATTATTTTTAATGTGTAGCTACTGTGGAATTGTCAGGAACTGAATTACAAGCTCACGTCGACTGATTTTATGGCCAACTTTGGATTTGCCCATTGCGATAACTCAGGGCGTAAATCGCAACTGTTCTTCATTAAGTTAAAAGCAGAAGGTTTTCTGTAGCAGATGGCTTTGAACTGCCTGAAGTTGTTGAGTCTGAGCTTGAGCTGAGGGATTACTCACTTAGAATGATGCCCATCGGGAAATCAGAATTCAGGAGAAATTTGTCTACCTTATTCTGTTCTCCCATCTGGTGACAGCTGGCAAAAAGCAGACAGCCTGAAAATTCAAATGCCACGTATAATAAAAGTGAAGGGCTGGTATCAATTAGTGAAGAACTGAGGCTGACTGATCTCTGGAGAATAAATACTAGAAACTGTGCAAAGACCACAGGGACCTCATAGCATCAATGAATGGTTTAAAGCTCTGCAAGTTATAGTGTGTGGAAGAACAGCCTTAGGCTTGGAAAGGTTGATCCAGCATTTAATTACCCTATTTTTCCCATGTCCCATGCAGATTTCCTTCAACATTGGAAGATGGAGGGAGTTAGGTTCATTTTGTTAATGGAGGGGAATATCAGCAAATTTCCTTACTGCATGCCTTGTGAGTCTAGACATGAACATGTTCATAGTTACTGAATCACAAGAGCATAAGAAATCGAAAAGGGAGGAGGAACACATGTCTTCTTGAGCTTCCTCTGCTATTAAATAGGAGCATGGCAAGTATACATCAGTTCCACAATCTTGCCACATCCCCATATCCCTTAACTCCATGGAGCATGGAGGGTTTCACAATATCTCCGTTACTTGGCTACACGGTCCCTATGGATCATTCACAGCATTTGTCCCACCCCACATCCTCCCCTGTTGACTTACACGGGTTCAACTGACTACATCCTAAGCACTTGAGTTTTGTAGAAAAAAAATCTTTAATGGGATGTGGGTGTTTGTTGGCAAGGTCAGCCTTTGTTGCCCATCCCTAATTGCCCTTGAATGGAGTGGCTTACTTGGCCAATTCAGAAGGCATTTAGGAGCCAGCTACATTGTTGTGGGTCTAGAATCACCTGTAGGCCACTGTGACGACCAGTCCCGAGGCAAGATTCCCCAGTTTATTACTGATCCCAATGGAATATTCCAAAATTGTTACACCCTAAGTGAGGAGCGACGGATGTGTTCCCCTCCTGTATTCCTCCTCTCCCAACTTGGTTAATTTAAAATCTGATCCCTTCCCTTGTGTGTACCTTTCTTCCACTTTCAACTTAATTATTTTTTTTTAAAAGGAGCCAATTTATCAGGGTGCTCTTGAGTTAATGAAAGTATAAGTTTATTGGCTATTAACTGTGACAAGAAATAATGCAACACTTAAGCACAAAGAACAGAAATGAGAGCCAAGTCCAAAGGTTCAAACAGGTTTGCAGATCAGTCTCTGAGTCCTGTAAACAATGGGATGACGTGGCCATTATGTTGGGTGATACTGATGTTGGTCGGTGAGCAGCTGATTTTCAGATGCTTTGTCACCTGAAAGACCTTTGTCTGATTTCTTTTCAACTGAACATATGTTTATAGACGGACATAAGACAAAGGGGTAGCTATAGACTATTCAGGTTTGTGTCAAAAGAAACACACTGACTACAAGCCACTGATCCACTCTTGTCCAGTATGTAGTGACCCTGTGTGTCTCAGTGTCAGGTCCTGTATATGTACAGTATAGAGCAGGAAAAGCGACAGTAACAGTTTCTATTACATAAAATAAAGGACTGCAATTGCTGATGATCTGCAGCAAAAACAGACATTGCTGGAGAAACTCAGCAGGTTTGACAGAAAGCAGAGTTAATGTTTCAAGTTCAGTGACCTTCCTTCATTACAGAACAGCAGCTTCTATTCACTTCTGAAGATGAGTCATATCGGACTTCAAATTTGTTTCTCTCCCCCAAGCTGCTGCCAGACCTGCTGAGTTTCTCCACCTTTCTCCGTGTTTGCTTCTCTTTATGTAGCACCTTTAATGTAATGAAATACAGTATGATCCCTGGTCGGACAAAGAAATATTCACTCAGATGACAAAAGTCTTGTTTAACAGCTCGTTTTTTAAGATGTGACTTAGGCAGAGAGTTTTATGGGGGATCTTCTGGAGTGTGGGTATGGCAAACTGAAGATGCAGCTGCCAGAGGTGGAGAGGTTAAAACTGGGGATGCTCAAGAAGACAGATTTAAAATAACACAGATACTTTCTGGAATCATTGAGTAGATTGTGGTGACACAGTGGTAATGCCATTGGACTAGTAACCCAGAGGTAGATGATTGGGGCAATGGGTTCAAATCCTACCACAACAGCTGGTGCAATTTAAATTCAATGACAAAAGTACAAATTTCAGTGACAGTGACTGTGACAACTATCATCAATTGTTTGCAAAAACCCATCTGGTTCACTAATGCCCCTTGCAGGGCAGGAAGCGGCTATCCTTCCCAGACCCACAGCAATATGGTTGACTTGCGACTGCCTCTGAAATGGCCTTATAAGCCACTCAGTTCAGGGGCAACAAAATCTGGTCTTGCCTGTGACAGCCACATCCCTTGAATATAGAAAGGGGAAAAAAAAAGTTAGGGAAGGGAGAGATCAAATCCACAAACATCCACTCCCTCCACCACCGACACTCAGTAGCAGCAGGGTATGTTATCTACAAGATGCACAGACAGATCCTCAGACAACACCTTCCAAACCCACAACCACTTCCATCTAGCAGGACAAGGGCAGCTGGTACATGGGAACACCACCCCCTGCAAGTTCCCCTCCAAGACACTCACCATCCTGACTTAGAAATATATCTTCGTTCCCTCAGTGTCACTGGGTCAGAATCCTGGAATTCCCTCCCTAAGGGCATTGTGGGTCAACCCACAGCAGATAGACTGCAGCAGTTCAAGAAGGCAGCTCACCACCACCTTCTCAAGGGGCAACTAGGGATGGGCAAGAAATGCTGGCCCAGCTGGTAACACCCGTGTCCCACGATGAATAAAAAGGCAAGGCCATGAAGAGACTTGAAAACTGGGAAGACCATGTTAAAAATAAGATGTGGCTTGATAGGGATCCAGTGTAAAGGAATGAGTAGGGAGTGATGGGGGGAATGGGACTCGATTTGAAATAAGACCGAAATAGCAAAGGTTTGGATAACCTTTGGTTAACAGAGGGTACAACGTGGAAGACAGGCCTGAAGAGCAATGGAATAAGTCTATGGGCAAAAATCCCCAAATCTAGTAGTTATAGTAAGGTAACCATGAACGAACTGCTCCTGTCTTTTGCTGTGTTCTAGCTCCCATGGGATTTACACCAGGCAACAGTGAACTATTCCCCATTGTTTGGTGCTTGAGTATGTCTTGGGGATGGATAATGAGACCAGGGCTTGCTGTGTTGAGTGAGTAGGGAGTGGTACCTGTTTGTCTGGTGGATGGGAATATGTGAATGATGCACAATGTCAGGGGATAGCAGAAAGCTATAGAGTGATAGTCTCACCAGAACCACCTTGGTGATGTACATCAGCATTCCCATTATTTTTTATGGAGAAATGTGATGGATAAGAGAAAGAAAAAACATGCATTTATATAGCATCTTATTGGATATTTCAAAGTACTTTATATGCAGTGAAGTATATGTTTAAGGCAGTAGGAAGGATGCTAGTCAGTGTGTGCGCAGCAAGCTCCTATAAACAGCAAGGTGTCAGTGACCAGATAGTCTGTTGTCGCCATTGTGTATAAACATAGGCTCACCTGATTTTAGTGCCATGGGATTGTTTTACACAATCCTGAGAGAGCTGGCAGTCGGGGCAGCTCAGCTTTCACACCCCCAGCTGAAAGATGACTTGCATTCTCTGCAGGTTTGAACAATGTAAGGTGATCTCATTGAAGTCTACAAAATTCTCATCGGGCTTGTCTGGGTAGATGCAGCAAGGAAGTACCCCCACCCCCAGATGGTGGGAGAATGTATATAACCAGGGTGTTTAAAGTGTCAATGTAAAGGGGTAGGGTCACATCAGGGGAACCTTTTCATTCAGAGGGT